TTCTGTGATTAATACAAAATTCTTTCACTGCTCTTCTTTTATTTTATTTTATATTTTTTTTATGCGCCTTTGACTTCTTTTCTTAATTTGATTACGATTTCTATGCGACATTCATTAAAATTTGATAATTTGGTGTTTGGTATGGCTTTACCTTTTCTCGTAAGAAATAAAGGAGAAACGATATGATACTCGATTACATACCGAAATGATTATACAGCCACCGAAAACAGAGAATTGTAACTCTCTTTGATCCTTGTACATTCTCTACAACCGTCTTCCCTCCTCTCTCTTTCTCATTCTTTTTACAATTATCGAGGAGAGACCACCCACGAGACATCGTAGATCTCTTAATTAATGAGTTTCATGGGAGAGCGGAATTCTTTTTAGATGATACTTAACGATCATAGTTATATTTTACCAACAAAGTTATTTTCAACATTCAAGCATTCTCGCGATTTTCTTCGTCACAGATGAATACATTAGTTTATTCGCCCCTTCAGCATAGACATATTTTATGAAACATTTTATAAATAATACTAAATCTTAATCTATTCGTTCTTATATATAATTGCAAGATATTTCTTAGCTATTTATATGTATATATATATATATATATTTCAAAGCGTTTAATAAAATCAAATAAGATATACATACATCGACATACAAACGAGATGTCGTACGAATCTACGAGCGATGCGCCTTAATTAGTGCCGGTGCAATCGCGATGCGCCAGATTTGAGCGAGCGACGTATTTACGCGAGAGTACCGGACGGTACAAAAAAAATATTAAAAAAGGAGGGAAATATATATATCCTGTCAAAGAGCCAGCTCGTGGTGAACGAGTCGCGAGAGCGCGCGGTCCCTGGCTCCATGTAACATGTCCCGCGACTTTATGTAACGCCCGCGTCACACCGCAACGATATTTACGATCCACCGCGAGATTATAATATCTTATTTCTGCGTGACGCCCCGGACACGTATCCGGTTCTCCTAGAGCGCATGCGTGGGCCAGAGCGCGGAGAATATTTTCAAACTCCACGCGCGGTTTATTCTCTCTCCGAGCACGTGCACGTGATCTCAAAGGAATCGCGATCGTTGAATAGGACGATGCTCGTCGTCTTCACGTGGAACGTATCGATTTAACAGTATTGCTATCTTCCTTATTACGTCCGCTAAGGTAATCCGTTGATATCGCCGGATTCGAAGCGGGGGCGACAGCGGAACGAGAAAGGAAAGAGCGGGGCGGGATGTCGACGGGGGGGGAGGTACATCGACATACAAACGAGATGTCGTACGAATCTACGAGCGATGCGCCTTAATTAGTGCCGGTGCAATCGCGATGCGCCAGATTTGAGCGAGCGACGTATTTACGCGAGAGTACCGGACGGTACAAAAAAAATATTAAAAAAGGAGGGAAATATATATATCCTGTCAAAGAGCCAGCTCGTGGTGAACGAGTCGCGAGAGCGCGCGGTCCCTGGCTCCATGTAACATGTCCCGCGACTTTATGTAACGCCCGCGTCACACCGCAACGATATTTACGATCCACCGCGAGATTATAATATCTTATTTCTGCGTGACGCCCCGGACACGTATCCGGTTCTCCTAGAGCGCATGCGTGGGCCAGAGCGCGGAGAATATTTTCAAACTCCACGCGCGGTTTATTCTCTCTCCGAGCACGTGCACGTGATCTCAAAGGAATCGCGATCGTTGAATAGGACGATGCTCGTCGTCTTCACGTGGAACGTATCGATTTAACAGTATTGCTATCTTCCTTATTACGTCCGCTAAGGTAATCCGTTGATATCGCCGGATTCGAAGCGGGGGCGACAGCGGAACGAGAAAGGAAAGAGCGGGGTGAGATGTCGACGGGGGGGAGGGGGGGGGAGGGTAAGTTAAGATGGGGTATGTCGGAATCGAGCGAGACGATCTAGCGTCGTCGTTCGCTTGCTCGCAAACTTAGATACGTACATACCAGAGTCCTAGAGAGAGAGAGTGAGAGAGATATGCTTTCGGGATAGGTCGTTATTTACAGCTCGCATGAATCACGGATAAGGCATCGAGATAAAGCTAATGCAACGCTTTGATATTTGTCGACGGATTCTTTTTTTTTTTTTGTAAGGAGCAGTCTCTCTTAGCTCGTAACTTCGGCGTGTATTTCGCGGTCAACGCGTAATCGGTGATTGCACGGTATCCGATGCGATAGCCCGATGATAGTCGCTATATGGCATTTCATTAAGATTACATGATTCATTTTGCTCTTACATTTGACCATACAGTTTTTCGTAATTGCCGTGTCACGAGATTCGAGATATAAATTATACAATGTATATGTATTGATATAGAGGCGGAAGAGCATGAAATTGCAATCAGCGAAATTATAGAAAATAAATGACGTAAATGTAACGTTACGAATTTTCCAAAGGCGACGATTACTCATGATCAATTTAGATCATCAAGCCCATAGCTTTTTCTTGCTCCTCTCTCCCTGCACTTCAGTAAGTTTCTCATGCCGACCTTTAATATCCGAACCCATTCGACCGTCTATTCTATCCGCCTCCGCATTATTTCTCCCTACGTCGCAACTAAAGGAACACATATACGCTCCTCTTCACACGTTCTTCCACTTATAACCTCTATTCCAATAAAACTTCCCCGTATTGGAAATGTGGGAGAGAGATATCCGCTATATCCCGGGACCGTGCACTCGGTTTCATAGGATGGCCATGGCGAATGATCCATCCCCTGACACCTATACCCTTGTCTTTATTTCTGCCGGCTTTATGTGCGAGTCTCTCTACTTCTTTCTTTTTCTCACTCTCTTTCTATGGCTGACCTTCTGTGCGACAATACCGTGTTCTATAGAATATGATCGATTATCTTGCGATATCACGTTACGAAAGTTTGAATCTTGCTAATGCACATTATTGTTCATACCAAAGTATGGAAATAGAGATCTATTATAATAGCGCTAATAATCATTATGGAATGAAAATTCGAAAACCGAGATTTCAATGAGACATCGTCAAGGAATTTCCCGTTGGAATATTCGACACGGCAATAAAATACGTAGTAGAAGAAAAATAAAATGCGGAGGCAAAAAAATACCATGCCTTGATGGAAAGATGTGTGTGCAGAATGCAGAACTTGAGGCTGCAATGATAAAGTTCTTAAAATACTAGTAGATGCAATGCAAACTGTGAATGGAACCGGTATTAAACAGCCCGTATTAATATCAGTTTTTATTCGTTACTTAATTACAGAGCGATGCGGGAGAATCCAGAAAGGAAGAGATTAGTCTGAAGGATACAAAAAATGAGCTTATTTTGTTTCCTTCCCCTTCTCTCTCTCTCTCTCTTTCTCTTTTCATTTTACGCAGCATTACTAAACCAATATATTTATAGTATACGCGGCGGTTATTAGTATCTTGAAATGAACAGAATAAACGATAAATAGCGGTATTATACACGAACTTGGAGAGCGGTGCGTACCGGGCTTTCTGAAATATATTGGATGAAATCATCGCCGCAGTACTCGCGATAGAGGGTAACGAAAACAATTCCGCCGCATTAAGATACGACATTTTACGTTTTTGTTAAAAAGGTAGGACGCGCAGCGCGGCGGCCGATCGTCAACTCCTGATTTTAATTAAAGCAGGAAGGAGAACGGCTGTGGAATTGGAACGTCAGATTCCCTTTCTGGTTGAATCGAGGAACGCAGCATTACTAAACCAGCCACTAATAATCCTGAATATCTTGACTTGTTGCCAGACTTCTTAATTTTATCCCAAAAATTGGCCATCATATAGTATCAATATTATCGATTAACACCGCGTCTTTAAGAGATTGCATTACTTATATTATAGAACTGTTCTCGAATAATCTTTAGTTTTCATGCTGATTATTGGAATACAGATATACACTAATTAATCTTCGATAGACTTAATATTAAATCGTTAAATATACACATCGTATTGATCTAGTTCGCGTTTCTTGATTAATTATTTCATTATTTCTAATCTCGAATGTTACAAATCAAGCAGAGATAAATACCAAATTTATAGAATGATGATACTCGAGTCCGTAGTTTTATATATATATAT